AGAGGAAACATTTTTGGATAGGCCAATCAAACCCCAGAGTGAGCACAAGTTAATTCTTCTCCTACAAGGAATATAAAAGCAAGAACACGTTTATTTAGCCTGTGGTCTAAACAAGCCTATGGTCTGTGCACTGCATGCTATTTGTTGTACACATGTATTATAGGTCAGGACCCCATTCCGAAATCAGTGGTAAATCTCTTTCATGGAATTCCTTGGGAGTTGGAGCAGGCCCCAGCTATGCAAGACGTGTAATGTTTTACCCTGATCTGATTTTGCTTTGTGACATACAGAATAGGGTGGCAACAATGGACTATTATTTAGAGCCCAAATATTCATTTCGTAATTAATTTTGTTTTCGTCTAGACAATAGCTCTGTCTCTGAATGCAAAAATCTTATTTCCATGGAGTTTCCCTTTAAATTCAGGGTAGGGACTTTGTAGGCACTTTCGGTACTATGTAAACAACTCATCTAACTAGAAGGGTTTGATCCTGCAGCCATTACTCACTTGCGTAAACCAGCTGGTATCCACAAGCAAACACTGACTTCAGCAGGGTTTTTGTATGAGTAAGGCAAGCAGGCTGTGGTGCACAGTAACTGAAATGCCAAGTCACACAAAGGGCTGGTTCGTGGGGGTCTAGCAAAGCAGCACTTGGCTCAGCGTGGGTGGCAATGCAAAAGGTGGCTTTGAGCTGCAGTTGGCCCAATCCTGGGGCTGCTCATCATGGGGTGTGAGTTAAAGCAGGCCATATTAGCTGCCAATAGCTATTACAATGGCTTGGAATAGTGGGTCATGATCGGGGCACCGGAACAGGGTGTGTGTGTGTCAGTGGGCCATGCCCCCCCAGTTTTTACTGGCCAAAAGGGTGAGTGACGGGGAGGGGTGGAGAGGAGCAAGCGGGGAGGGGGGAAAAGGCAGAATGGAAGCAGGGCCTCGGGGGAAGCGGTGGTGAGGCGGTTGAGGCTCAGGGAGAAGTAGGGGTCTGAGGATGGGGCTTCAGGGGAATGGGTGGCACAAGGGCAGGGGCTCGGGGAGAAGGGGCGGTGCAGGAGCAGGGCCTTGGGGGCAGCACCACAGTTCAGGCGCCTGTGTCCCCCACCCCCCACTTTTAGGGCACTTCCGCCACTCCTGGTCATGCTCCCTCGTACTGCTGGTGTGACAGACGCTCGCTCTATTTGCCCCATGCACCAGGGACTGAACCAGGGCTAAAAGCATTAGCTCGAGCTGTAGCAGCTAAAGAGCTAAAACACTCCAGCAGGCGCCTGTCACAGACTCATGCCCTCTATGGACGGTCACAGCAGGGACCTTTAACACACACGCACTTGCAGGAAGTAGAACTGAGGGGATTTTCACCTGGCTTAAGGGCAGCTTTTTTCTGGCAAAGCAATAGCCCCAGTGCACCCGAGACTCAGGGCCTGGCTACACAAAGCATCTCAGCCCCTGGGGGAAGCTCTGACCGAGATACCGGAAACTCGTGAAGAGCCTCTCCTGCCGTTTAATTTGCTTTTGAGGCAAGGTGTCCCACACAGCAGCATTGCAAGAGGGGACTGGAGAAGCAAGGAAGCTTTTTGACGAAGACGTGAAAGCACAAGTGGCAGAGCTCTACGTGCCACCCGGGCAGCACTACGCTATTTCGTGTTCCGCGAGAATGCCCGGGGTCAGGCTGAGAATTCACAAGCAACGGATCCGATTTAACTGGTGTCTCAGGGACAGCAATGCCCCTTTGAAAGGTCACCTGCTCTTCCATTTTCTAATTATGAAGAAGTGAAAATGTTGGGCCGTGTTACTGCTTGGACAGGACTTTGAGACCTCCAGGGAAAGCACAAGGGGCTGCCTGTAGCGATACCTGGTATCCTTCCTTCTCAGGACCTTCCTGCTTTGCAGCGTAACTGCACCAATGCAAGTCTCTACTGTAGACACACTAAGTTCCTTGTACCGCTTGGCGCTGGCCGCTTGTAAACCAAGGTAAGACCCTCGTGAGTAAGATCCCAGAATAGACAAGCCCTGAGTCAGTCATGAACCGATGCCCCAGCAAGCTCCTAGGGGGCGTGGTGCTGTTGGAAGTGCCAGCTTTTGGACAACAGGGAAAAAAAAATGGAGGTCTGGAATACCTGTGGTCACTATGGAGGCTATGGCGCTTTTGTAACAGTAGGGGCAGCATATTGCTTGTCAAATCAGCTGTGGGTGCAGAGAAAAATATTGGCAATGTGTCCCTCGATAAACACATCACAGTGGCGGTGGACAATATTCCATACAGGGGGATGAGACTCAAGCTGGCAAAGACCAGGAGGTAGAGGAGGGGTGGCCAACCTGAGCCTGAGAAGGAGCCAAAATTTACCAATGTACGTTGCCAAAGAGCCACAGTAATACATCAGCAGCCCCCTCCCCCATAACAGCCTCCTGACCACCAGAAGCCCAGCCGATCAGCGCCTCCCCCTCCCTTCCTGCACCTCCTGATCAGCTGTTTTGTGGCATGCAGGAGGCTGGGTGGGGGAGGAGCGAGGGCACGGCCAGCTGAGGGGTAGAGTGGGGGCAGGGCCTGAGGCAGAGCCAGGGGTTGAGCAGTGAGCACCCCCCGGCATATTGGAAAGTTGGCGCCTGTAGCTCCAGCCCCGGAGTCGGTGCCTAGACAAGGAGCCGCATGTTAACTTCTGAAGAGCCGCATGGGGCTCCGGAGCCGCAGGTTGGCCACCCCTGAGGTGAGGAATCTTTAGCGTGACCCTTCTAACTCACTTCGGAGTGATGTCAATGGGCTGTACGGGGTACCATTTCCAGCACTCCTTGGGCGGGAGGATGGTTGGCACGCTGCTAAGCTTCTGAGAGTTCACGACTATAAAGGAAAACTAGGGGAAAGACGTCCTCCAGGCTCCTGGATGAGTATATAGGGCCATCCTCCCTGCACCAGCAGGACACCATTGTTTGAAGGGTAGCAAAGATTAGCATGAGCGCAAAACAATGGAAGTTAAAGATACCGCGTGTTCGATACACAATCCCAGCGACAGCCTTCCTTGAATACAAAAGTGTGTCTTTATTTAAGGGCTGGAACAGCAAAAATGTGTTTCAAGCCAGGCTAGAGTGGGAAACATTTCAAAATCTTACTGCACGAACATTCATATATACACAGCATACCACGTGGTTCCCTCCTGCTGCCGGCAGCTCTAGCATGCTGTGGGGTGTAGGCAGAACTCCCCATGGCATGAAGCAAAGGTAGACTTCTTCAAAATCAACAGCCTAACACAGCCTGTACCTTGGATTGCAAGATCAGTTCATGCTGCCTCTCTCTGATCTCACAGTGTCGCCTAGTGGGTAGAGCACTGGACAAGGACTGAAGTGCCCACGGTTCTGTTCCTGGCTCTGCCATGGTCCTGCTGGGCAACCTTGGGCAAGTCACTTCACTTCCCCCAGACCTCAGTTTCCCCATCTGTAAAATGGGGATAATGACACTGACCTTCTTTGTAAAGGGCTTTGAGATCTACTGATGAAAAGAACTACTTACTACTGTTGTTAGCAGCTCCCGAGCAGGCATTAAGTAGCATAGAAGGCTTTGTATGGTCCCTCTGCACCACGAGTGAATTTCACTAGTAGAACACCATTGGGTCTAACTCTTCCCACAGAAGGCTAAAGAAAGGGGAACAGCGCTGCTATAAGAAGAGGGAATGCTCCCCTTCCTCTCCCTGGCTTGGGTTTGTGGTGCTCCTCCACAGCTCCTCCTCCTGTTTCAATCCACTTGAACCCTCATGCGCATACATCGGTATGCGTCAGGAATAACTCCACTGCAGCCAACAGAGAGACTGGAGTAAAACCAGACCCAGTGAGAGAAGAATCAGGCCCGACGACAGCCCAAACAAACAACACCTAGCAGTGATTCTGTAGTGACAAATTCAGCATCTCAGGATGCATGAAATCTTGGGGGTGTGGAAGCAACCCACGTACTGGGTGCCGTACTTCCTTAAGTGCATCCATGCCATTTAACTTGTCAGCATTTTATGACTATACCTGGATTACCCTGTCCAGGGATCGAGCACTTTGCTAACAGTTGAGCACTACAGGCCTGAGCCAAACCCCACTGAAGACAATGGGAGTCTCACCATTAACTCCAGTGGACCTATCTGTCCAATGAAGAGGGATTTTGTTTTGCAGTTGTGAAGTGTGTATCTTGAAACCCAAGTCCAAAGGATTCAGCATTACAGATTTTAGTATCAACGTTCCCACAGATAATTCAGGTCTCAAGTAGATAATGGCATGTAATCACTTTTGCCCAGAATTTAATGCCACGTTCATAAAATAGCGAGGAAGCACATTTACAGGCCTTTGTAAAGTGTTAATAATGGAGAAATAGCTATTAAAACAATTATTTTAACATCAAAATGAAAATATTCCCCAAAAGACTAATGTTTAAGTGCCAAGGTTAATACCTGTGCTTGACTTTATGCACAGGAGTTGTCCCTTTGACTTCAGTGTGACTTCGTGCCTGTGAATCGTCCAACAACAGCAAAAAGTGTTTGCAGGACTGGGTCCTTAACTGATCCTCAGAGCTTGATAGTTCCATGTGCAAGACAGATCACAGAGTACTGAAAGGACCATCCTATGTATATGATAGGTAGTATTTTGTTCCAGTAATATAGCTTTCAAATGTATATTCATGTAGCCTTAGCTCTATTAATCCTGAGATAACCTAGAAAATGGGAAATCAATGGCAGTTGCACCAGTGTAACAGAGAACAGGACGTGTATCCCAATATCCTCAAATTCCTTGTTCAGGATGCTAAAATAGGTCATCTACGTTAAACAGGAAAGAATGGGAAATGTCCATCAACAAATCAAGATAAAGTGAACCTTTGGTGAAATCTTCACGTAGCACGAAAACAACCAACCAAAGAAGTCTTATTTCCCTAATGTTGATCAAGAGTCACCTTATCCCATCCCTCTGACACAGGATAAGTACACGGTCTGCTATTCCATCAGCCAACAGAAGTAACAGTACAAGAGAGAAAATCTTATATATTGTCTGCTCCTTTTTGCCAGCAAACAAACATGTTGCTTCACCTCATTCCTGTCCTCCAGTTAATTTATGGAACAGATCTTCATCCAGTGTTTCATTTTGGTCTTTGGAACGAGTGGACAGGAAGATGTAACCTCCAATGTATTCATGGACAACCTTGCAATCTGCACTCAGGCACGTGAAAGCAATGGACACATTCTGATCAAACTCAATTGCAACCTAAAGAGAAAATGAACAGCAAAAACCAGTAATGAAAATAAACAAGATCACCTCTGTACCAGTGATCACGTGAATCTTTAGAATAGACGGAGCCCAATAAATACCTGTTGGTCTATAAATGCCTAAATAAATAAATAAATAGCTGGCATTGCTAATAAGAGTAGTGTGGGAAAAGGATTTCTGAATTTTCAGTAAGCCCTTTTTCCCCAATCTGTTCAGTTAGGGCCCTCTTGTGGTCAAATCTTCCTTACTGTTTTTACAGCCAAAACAATAAGCCATTTCACTGATCACACTAAGGTAGCTGGGGAAGTTCCTAGCTTTTAAACAGATCAGTGGGAATGTTGCAAAGAACAGGAACGACCCTACTTTGAGACTGTATGCAAACAAGTTAAAGAACGTTACTATTTAATTATTGTTCAGGATGTCATGTGCTGAATCCAAGTGTGATTTGGGGACTAGAATTCTAGTTGTACAAAGCCCCAAAAGCCAGCTGAGCTGGCTTTTGGGCAATTCTGCCTCCTTGTGATCCTGGTATAGCAGCTCCTCACCACACCCTCCCAGACCCTGGCACACACGGGCATTCTTGGGGGGTAGTTGGAGCTTCTCACACTTCTGTTATCCCTGGCTTCTGGAAAGGCCCTTGGGTCTAAAGGGAGCCAGGTGTAAGCTAGAGCAGGGGCTTTCAACCTTTTTCTCTCTGAGGTCCCCCCAACATGCCATAAAAACTCTATGGCCCACCTGTGCCACAACAACTGTTTTTCTGCATGTAAGTTGCTCAGGTATTGGCTTCAGCCCTGGGTGGCAGGTCTTGGGGACCCGGGCTTGAGCCCCATGCGGTGGGGCTTCAGCTTACTGCCCTGGGCCCAAGCAAGCCTAATACTGGCCCTGCTTAACAGACCCCCTGAAACCTGCTTGCAGTCAGGGGGCCCCGGACCCCTGGTTGAGACCCACTGAGACAGAGCAGCCTGAAGGCTGCTCTGACTTATGTCAGGGGTCAGGCTACTCTCTGGCCCCCGAATCTAGGATTCACAAAAGGTGTCTTAAAGCCACCTTTACCCTCCAATTACCAAATCCTACACTGAGCAAAGCGTGGCTGGACCAAGGAAGCTGAGTGTCTTTGTAAAAATGACATTGGGGCGCTCCATATTTACCCTCTCTCAGCGACTTATGCATTGAAGTAGCAGAGCTTGAAGATTATTTCCATGTTATCCCTGCAAACTCAGCCTGGGATTTGAGTGTCAAGTTGGGTTCTTTCTGCATCTCACATCATTCCCAGAAATCAAGATTCTGCCTCTGGAGTTTAGAGAATGATGGGTCAGACAGACTGTAATCCCAGCTGACTCTGCTATCACTTTACTGGTAAAGCATTAAAAACACATTGGAAGCCGATTCTGCTCTTGAGTTCACCTGTACCATCCCAATGAAATCAGGGGCAGAATTTAACTGAGGGCTGAATTTGTCCCCTTTCTAGTCAGTTACAATGAGCAGATCTGATTTAGGCATAAAGGGAGCAGATATGTTAAACAGGTGCCATTTTTGCATTTTTCTGATTGTGCTTTAAATCTGAGTTTTCAGTCTCTGCCTTTTTAAAAAAAACAGTATAATACCTATGTTGTATGTAGTGTCGTCGTAGCCGTGACAGTCCCAGGATATTAGAAAGACAAAGTAGGTACGGTAATCTCTTTTATTGGACCAACTTCTATTGGTGAGAATGTAGCCTGATCTGTAGATTCTTGTATTAATTATACTGATTACTTAAGAATGCCCAGTTATCACTTTGAGGGTTGACAGGTTCTTGTCCCAAGATCAGGCCCAGTGTTATTAAAATTACTGTAGAGGTGGGAACCCCGATGTGCACAGTTGCAACACTCACCCTATAGGAAAACTTCTGCACTTACAATAGTTTGTTAATACATTTAGCACAGTCACAAACACCCCAACTCAGTAAAGGTAGATAGAGCTACTACAGAATGTCCATCTGCACATCCATATACTCACACCATCTCCTGCAGAACAACCTGAAATGTGAGCCATTATTTTCCTCATCACCAGTGGCCATCATTCTGGCCATTCCAAAGACTATGTCTCTCTCCTACCGTCCGAAGGCTGGGATACAACTTGTATAATATGGTACGCTGATGCCACTATGTCTAACGCCTATTCAGCAGGGGTTTCTCCCCTCTTCCTTATTTGTATTTCCTCACCCTATTAACATTGAGGTGCCCTTCTCCTATATGTTAGTACATCAATGATCTCAACTTATCATCATATATGTTAATTCCTTGCCATGGCACTCTTGTGGGCAGTCATCTGCAGATGTTAACTCATGTTCCTGTGGTTGACTGTGTCGTTATGAGTAGAATTTCCCCTTATACACTCTATTCCCAGTTCCTCAAAACTTGGAGGTTACAATTGGGCCATTTATCTGTGCCTAAGTTCATAGCTTCAGCACTTAGCATAAGGCTTGAGGCCTAATGTCTTACAGGGTACAGGCCTGTAAGTTCCTTGCATGGCTGCTGAATATAATAAAGGCAGAATATAATGAAGACAAGGCAGTGAATAAAATAAAGGCAAACTAGTCCTATGGGCTACAAGACAGACAAGATTTCAAGCTTCAAAGAGCTCTGTGTGGCTCAAAAGCTTGTCTCTCTCACCAACAGAAGTTGGTCCAATACCTCACCCATCTTATCTCGCTAGTCACACAAATGGATTATTTAATAAATCGTGACATCAGGCTAGTTTTGGGCTTTAAAAAATGATCTGGTGAAAGCATCTTCAGGAGATTGAAATGTAGGAATTGGACATGAAAAGCTGTTCTGATTTTACCTGACGTATTTCCCAGTTCACATTCCACTGCTTCATACTGGAGAATCTCCATGTTGTGATAGGATCCCCAGTGGCTGCATCGATCCTAATCAGCCTGTTATAGGAAACTCCCAGCAGATCATCCTTCTTGCTTCCTTTAAACCTGGGGCGGGGGGGTGGGGGGTGAAAGCAGATTCATTTTGCAGCATGTTTCCCTAGTGAGATATTTCACCTGTTCCTTATGCAAGTGTGGCAAAAAGGGGGAGGAGGCTTCTGCTGCCTTTGCACCGGTCAGCCGCAAGGTGAGCGCCCAGAGGCAGCCTGTACAACGCAGGAGGTTGGAGCAGTAACGGGCTTGAATCAAACCCGCTGATCACAACATCCTGGAACTTGGGAAAGTTTGGCTCCTTCTCTGCTGCAGTGCGTGGCACAAGGCAGGCAAGAATATGGCTTGGTAAAATATGGCAGTGGCTATGAAAATACAGCAGAAGAATGTATTCACATGAGAATGTAGCTATTCAGCCACCAACATTTTAGGGAAATAAAGGAGGACTGTATGAAAAACACAGGGAAAAAAGCTTATTTTAAGGGATGTGTAAGAGTGCTGGCCTGTAAACACAGGCATGGCTGGCACATCTTTATTATTATTGTTATGATTTATCTTGTGGTAGCACATTGGCACCCCAATCATGGACCAGGACCCCATTGTGCTAAGTGTTATACAAACACAGAACAAAAATGTAATCCCGGCTCCAAAGAAACTGATACAGGGACATAGCCCCTTTAAGCCTGGGGGCTGCTGGGAGTTGTAGTTTCCACACAGATCACATGATGGCAGGGCGGGTCCATTGACAGTGTCATGTGACACCTGCAGGAGACTATATAAAGTAATGCTCCTGCCTCACTCTGGAGGAGATGAGTATTTGAGGTAAGACCAAGTAAAGTCCTTCCATGGGAACTTGGCAAGGGGCCTAGGAGATAGCTAGGAAAAGCATTTCCTTCCCCCCACCCCACTTGCTGAAAGCTGGAAAGGCCTCTTTAGCACTTGGAAGTGTTTTGTGTTACTTTGATTCTATTTTGGAATCTCGTCTAAGATGACAAAGCTGGCCCTGTGTGAAAGGACTTGAACCAGATCAGAATGTGTGTGTGTGTGTGAGAGAGATATCTGCCTATCAGTTTACAGGACATCATTGCACAAATATGTTATCTATGCTACAAAATCATTCAGTTGTATCACAGTTTAGGACCTTTTGCAGCATTGTTGATGAAACATGGGACAAAGTGCATCCTAAATCGTCTTTATACAAGACAGAAGGCACAAAATAAGGGATGTGCCTTATAGGTTTTTTTTTTTTTGTTTTGCTCTGTAAATTTTGCTGAACTTTTTGGAGAGAGCAATTGTGACTCAATGGTCTAAATTCTGCCCTCAGGTTCACCTGTATATCCCTACTGAAACCTTAGGAAGACCCAGTAGAGCAGCATGAGATGGATGCTGCAAGGCAATAGCTAAGAGCAGAATTGGACCCTATTTGTTCAGGCCCAGCTTCCAGCTGAGGGCAGGTCTACACTATCGGGCTAAGTCGACCTAAGTTACGCAACTCCAGCTATGTGACTAATGTAGCTGAAGTCAACGTAGCTTAGGTCGACTTATTGCGGTGTCTACACCACACTGGGTCGACGGGAGAAACTCTCTTGTTGACTTACCTTATGCTTCTCGTTCTGGTGGAGTACCGGAGTCAACGGGAGAGTGATCGGTGGTCAATTTAGCGGGTCTTCACTAGACCCGCTAAATCGACTCCCAGTGGATCGATCACCACACGTTGATCCCCCGGTAAGTGGAGACAAGCCCTGAGATATGGAGGAGCTGAGAGTTTGCTTTCTGAATGCATATCATACGTAATGAATTGCCAAAACAGGTGTGATGCTTAAAAGAAATGCAGTGTTGCATCTAGTGCTAATGGGAAAGAGCAGGAGTGATGAAATGCAATGCATAGTTGAGAACACGGAGAAGGAAATGGTGCTTTTCCATCTTTGAGTCTATATGAGTGATAAGTCTAGTTTATTCCTCCGGGTACCTTACTTCAGTCAAAACTCATCATGTTTTGTACAATGCAAACACAATGGGGCGTAACAAGGCTCCTAAGTGCTACCACCTAATAAATAGTAATATTTCTATTACCGTAACGCATAGGAGCCCTTGTCCTAGGCCAGAACCTCATTATGCTTGGAGCTGTACAAACCCAGAATAAAGCTGGTCCTAAAACAGCATGCAGGTTTCCAGAATTTAAGATGGGTCCTTAAAAAAAAAAAAGTGTAAGATAGTGTTCTGAGACCTGAGATTCAAAGGAGTCTCTGACAGTCACTGACCAGGAAAACAGCAGGGCAGTCTGACATCATTACCTTACAATGTAGTATGTTAAACCGAACTCAGGGAGGGACTGCCACGCCTGGATAAAACGCAACTTGGCTTCCACTAGCGGCATCCGTGCCACGTTTTGGTGGGCTTCCAGAATGCGGGCGGCCAACTGAGAGAGACAGGGAGAGAGGAAGGAGTTCAGCGGGTGGAGGACTACTGTACAAAAATGTCCTTTGTTTTCTTTAAATAAAATAGTGTCCGCTCCAGGGCCATGTTCAGACACAAATGGTTCAGGATGAAGTAGTCACTGTCCTAAGTAAACAAGGTGCTGTATTCACTCAGGGACAGATCCTGACCTGTGGCCTTGTTCTCCTCAGCGCAGATCAGGAGAGACTGGGGCATAAAGATACCTGCCTGATCCTCATTTTCTGCTGTGCTGGACTCCAGCATAAAGCAGAGCAACCTCAGGGCTGCTCTATTTTATGTTTGCTGCCCACCTCCCCTAAGGAGCATTTCACAGCTGGAGACTGCCGGGATGTTAGGAGGCCCTGGCCACATCCCCTGCACTGCAGGCCAGGTGTCGGGCGGTATAGGAGCTCCTACGGTGGCCCATTGCCACCCAAGGATTCCTCTAGGCATGCGGGAGCCTTGTGAAGCCAGACCTAATGAATTTATGACTGCTCTACCTTGCCTGATTGGTGCAGAGCAGCGGGCGTGCACGGAGGGAATCAAGTGACAGCACAGGAAGAGCTTTTAGCTTCCAAGCTGCACATTCAGGACAATATGGCGCTCCGATCCCAGCTAGCCTGGGGCGACGGCTCATTCCAGCACCCTGCGCTGCCTCAGGCTAGCGATTCTTTGGCTGGCTCGTTTCTGGTTCTCATCCTACATCCTTGTTTTGGCCCGGCGCACTTCCCTGTTTCTGCTTTGCGCTGGGTCCACTTGTGGCTGCTACCCCGACTTGCCCCGCAGAAGCTCATGGCGTGGAAACTGCATTGCCGTGCGCAGAGTCACTCTGGAGCCATGCTGCTGGAATGCTAAATATGCTGCCCAGGAGCCCTGCAGAGTGCTGGGGAAATGGACCCCGCTCACCTGCTGGGGTAGGCAGATCAGGTTGAAAGCGAATGAGAGAAGCAAGCTCCTTTATGACACCAGGCCGTTGTTACATTTGGTACTCATTCATGCCCATTGCAGTCACTGCACTTAGCCTCACTCGTGCAATCTAGTGACAAGTACATCGGTGCAAACAAAGGTGCTCTTTGCTAGGGAGCAGATTTACCACGCGGATTCCTGATCTAATGCCAGGGCTGGGCTCTGGAAGCCTATGAGGCCTGCAGCGGGGGCCCCTCTGAGTCTGTGGCCCTATAAAAGGAGAAAACCCTACGGAGAGAGCTGAGTTGCAGGTAGCTCGGCTATCTGGCTTTGGAGAGGAGCCTGCTGATAAGTTCTGGGAGGAATGGGCTGACTTGATTTGTTACATGCAACAATTCGTTACTCAACAATTGTAACTTGATCAATTCAAACCCACTGAGTGACAAACTGGTACAACTTCGGGGGGGGGGGGGTAGAGCTTCCTGGCAAACTTTTTTCCAGTCCTCCCCAAATTTTTGAGACTTCAAAACTTTTCCTGTTTTGAAACAGGACGAAACTGAGCCCTTTTTAAATGAAAAACGAGAGAGAGAGAGATCAACCCTCCACCCTAGAATAGCCAAGAGGTTCAAGTCCCTGGGCTGCCTCAAGCAAAGCACAGCCTTAAACCTGGGTCTCCCACCTACATCCCAGGCAAGTGCTCTAACCACTGGACTATTGGCTGTTCTGGGAGGTGGTGTTTGCAAGTACGTACATACATATCTTCTGGTGCCTCCTCCCCCGACCTAAGAAACCTTCTCGCCAAAACAGACCCTGTCCCGTGAACTTTTTCTGTTTCAGAGAACTGGCTTTTTCCAACAAAAAACAGTTTAGCCAAAACATTTCCCGACCAGCTCTGCTAGGGGTTGGGGCACCACGGGAGGTTTTTCTCCTCCTTTCCCAGTCTAGGGGGCTACTGGAGGACCCTACCTACCTAAGGTACAGACAACCCCGTCCCTGGTGCATCCTTCTGGGGTGCCAGCACCATCAATAGGAGGTGGCCGCTGGCTTTGGAGCCAGAGGGGTGGCTGCAGGGGGCTTCCTGGGAGAAAGCAAGTGTTGAGAGCCTGTCGCTGTGTTTGTTTTAAAGAGACAGGCCTCTCATTCAACCCCGAGGAGGAGAATTATTGTTGTAAGATATTCCTGGCTGTGGCCAGGAGCCCCTTGAGAAGTTTCCCAGCACTGTTCTGAGCCAGTCCGACCCTGGGCTCCACCCCACAGCGTATCAGGAGCCTGTCACCTCTCCTTTCCCAGGGGCCAGCCTAATCCTGATGACGCCAGCCGTACCTGTTTGGACTTGTATTTTTTGGCATATCGTGGTGAGACAAAGCGTTCCGGTTTCATGTCCACGCTCTCTGGATCGGAGACCGCCTGCGGAGACGTGGTCCGGTTCTTCATCCTCAGGAATGAAAGGATTTTATGCACCTCGGGCTGGTAAGAGCTGTCTGCCATTGTTTTGCCTTTCGCAGCTAAGACACAAGCAGCCATCCAGCATGCATATTGATTCTCCTGCAATAAAAACCCAATCGTTTGCAATTACTGGCCAAATTCTTGCTGTTTGTTGCTCACAAGCCGTTCATTATGATCATTCAACACCCAAAATTCAAGCTGTGTCGATTAGTTTCGTTTGGACAATGCTGCTCTCTGATTGAGTTAGTGTAACTCAACTCAGACAATTAAGTTTGTGAGTTCCAAAGCGGCTTCCCTGGAATATTCTGATGTTTATTTGAAATCAGCTGTTAATATTCTGGCTTGGTAGAACATTCACACAGGGCCTGACTTTGAGAAACACCTAGCATATGTAGTTCCCACTGGCTTCAGTAGCAACTGTGGGTGCTCAGCATATCTGACCCACAGGCATAAACAGAGCAGAAGCAAATTCAATATTTTATCCAAGTGAATATTTGTGGGAAGCCATTTGATACATTCTCTTGGCTCCAGCAATGGCTACTGAGCCTAGTGAGTAAAATAAAATGCTTTGGAATAGAGCCGGGGGGAGAGATATTTTCCATGGAACTTTTTTTTGTGACCAGAATGAAAATTTTCACAAAGAATCTCCATTTGGGTCAACATGACAAATTTCAGTACAATAAAATTCAAAGTGTGTGTGTGTGTGTGTGTGTGTGTGTGTGTGTGAAAAATCACTCTTATTTTTCGACTATCCTTCCCACTGCTCGTTTTTCCAGTGGGAAAACGTGAGGGGAAAAAAAGAAAAAAGTGTCTGAAAAATTCAAAACAAAACATTTTCATTTATTTTGAAATTTTTCACCGTGTGCGTACTTGTTTCAAACGGCTCTGCATGTGACGACATGAATGAACTCTGTTTTCTTGTTACTTTATCCCCTCTACCAGCCCACAGCCCATTCGCCTGTTTTGTCCACTTGTGGCATCCTGTCTGACGTAGATTGTGAGATCTCTGCGGCATCTTTATTTATCCGTACAGGGTCTATCACAGGTGCTGTTCTGTGACTTGCCTTCCTAGGAGATGCCATAATAAACATCCAGAATGAGGAATGTGCTTTATGTGTCTCATTACTCACATTATCGCATCTGAAATACACTTCATTCATGCCATCAGCAACAGGAACGAGTAATTTAATTCCAAATTTTCTCCCGGCTACATTTACATCCGGTACAACTTCACATCCTAAAGGACAGAAGGACAAAAGGAAATGAAGGATACATGCATTTAGTTCCTGCTCCTCTGATGTTAACTATTATCGCCATGGAAAGGCTGTGTTTAAATGACTGTTTCTGAGATCTGTGGGCAAGATTTTCAAACATTAGCCCAAAGCGAGGCACCTAAATGACTGGTCTAATTTGCAAAAGTGCTGAGCACCTGCAGTGCTAAGAGCATGATGTTTAACTCAACACACAAGGATGTCTGAAATCCTCGACATGGATCTGAGCATTATAAAGGAGATGTGTTTAGTGGAATAGGGTAACATTTCCAAAGGCACCTAACTGATTTACGAGGCTAAGGCCCATTTTCAAAAGTGACTAGTTTTGAAAATGGGTCTTTGGCACTTTTTGGAATTTTACCCCAAATCCTCTATTACCAGTTTACTTTTCCTCCCCCAAGGACAGAGGTGAGAATTTGCCTTAAACATACAGTATAAATATTTGGAAACAGAAGTGTCTCAAAGAGAGGGTCTGATCTTCATCTTCTCTCAACTTCCACTGAGTTCAGTGGCCCTCAGCACTTTGCAAGTCAGGCCAGATAGCCCCAAAGAAGGTGTTCCGAGCCTAACACCATTTGGCTGGGCCTCTTTCTGCAGGTAAAGCCTGTATGATCAGGCCCCAAACAGGCCAATATCTGTAAACAGCTGTAGGATTAAGTGCTACCATATTTATCTTTTAGTATACAATTTACAATGAATTCTAGATTAATTTTTCCATACTATGAATGAAAGAGTAAAGGAAAAACAAATGCCTACCTTTTAGGTTTAGCTTCTCAATGGGTTCCCCCTGCCCAGCTTCCTTGTTTTTAAAATAAGATACTGAAGTGTCTTTAAAGACAAACCAATACTGCTTGAAGGCTTTTAGCGTTAGCTTCTTGGGCCTACAAATAAAGAGGATGTGAATCAGTTTTATGGCTTATATTGCAACCTTCAAATCACTGGGCCATAGACTGCTCTCAGATACACCAGTATAGATCCAGAGTAGCTCCACTGAGGTCATTCATTTACTGACTTGAGAGGAGTTACTCATGATTTGCACTTTTGTAAGTGAGAGACAGCTCAATCCCCATTGTCCAGAACAAACTCCAAGCTACCCTGAAATCCAGGTATGTTTATACCCAGAATATTGATGAAGGTCCATTTTTAAGTTTTACATTAATAAAACAGTATCAGTCTCTTCTAAAAAGGCTAAATGAGGTTTTGTCTGATAAATACACTACTGCTAATACAACATATACATTAATTCTGATGCTCCAGATGGTTTCCGAGGCCTTGTCTTTATTACAAAAGTTGCATCAGTTTGACTAAATTGATCTTTACTTAGATTGTATGATCTCTGGGGCAGGGACTGTCTTGTTGTTCAGTGTTTGTACAGTACCTAGCACAATAGGGTCCTGGTCCTTAACTAGGGCTCCTAGGCACTATAATAATAATAAATAATCATTTTAAATCCGTCTAGAAAAACTGCTGTAAACCCCTCATGGACACACACTTAAACCCGTTTGACTCTGGCTTTAATCAGTTTCATTTAATTGAGTACTTTGCCAATGCAAGCTAAACCTCTTAAACCAGTTTAAATGCATCTGCCTTAGGAGGAGTTGCAATTGTTTAATTAACCGAGTAACATTTTCTCCAGGACTATCCACAACTTGGGTGCGATTCTCGTCTTGTTTATATTGATCTAAATCAGGAGTAACTCTACTGATAATACACTAGCAAGAGGAGGATCAAACCTAATATGTTTGAAGAGACATAATCACTATTTTAAGTTAAAAACATAATCTGCTTAAAATACTGTTGACTTCAGTAGTGAAACCCTTCATGTCCCAATACTAAAGTTATGATCAATCTTTAAGAATTACAGAACAGTACTGTCCATTTAGTACTGGAGCTGATTGGAAAATGAGCATTTTTCCATCTAGAAAATTTTGACGTCAAAAATCCAAAAAACTTTTTGGCAATGGATAATATTTGGTTTTCATTTTTCTGACGGGAAAAACTCCAAACCACAAAAACAAAACCAATAAACATTTCAGAGGAAAGCGGACACCAGCTGTGAAAACTTTTGTTTAGTCAAAAACCCAATTTTCCAAAAAAGAAGAAGTTTGGACAGAAATTTTTCAACCAGCCCTACTTATTACTCATTTAACAAAACAAAACAAAAACCAAACACCATAGTTCAGTAGTTCTTGGGCCAGATGCGAGTGAACTACCCAATATTATCTGGTTTCAGAGTAACAGCCATGTTAGTCTGTATTTGCAAAAAGAAAAAGGAGTATTTGTGGCACCTTAGAGACTAACCAATTTATTGGAGCATAAGCTTTCGTGAGCTACAGCTCACTTCATCGGATGCTCAGATAAATTGGTTAGTCTCTAAGGTGCCACAAGTGCTCTCTTTCTTTTTGCCAATATTATCTATCACTCATACAAATGCAAAGATTGTTTTCCCCAGTATGTTGCAATGACACACAGTGATTCAACAGGATGCATGTGAATGCATCTGTCGATGCAAACATGTTCGGGTTTGCAAAACAGTGTATTTAGCGTGCAACAAAGCAAGTATTAGTACACTACTAGCCTTTTAAAGGAATGTTTTACATCTAATCTGATTTTCATATATACTTTGAAATGCCTGTGTGATTTATAACATTCGTAATGGTTAAAAATAATCACTGAATGCTGTCTAAAGATAACCGTCTTGATGGGGGTGGGGGGGGAACAAACAATCCATTCCTAAAACTAAGGAACTGATAGCACTTAAAAGGGTTCAGTTCTCTTTCATCTTAACACACCTTGGAAGCGTCATGACTGTTGAATTGATTTCTTTTCTGGCAACCTTCATATGCAAATATGACAGCTATATATTGCAGGTTTATTTGAGCCATTTAGCAAGCGAGGTCAGTTCAATATGATTTGTCAAGAGAATGAAACTGATAAATAATCCCACAATAGAAGGCTTCGTTTCTCTAAAAACTGGGTCCGTTTTGAAAGAACAAATGGTTACAATCTTGCAGTTACTGTGATGTGATTCAGTACAACAGTCTCCGCATGATCGTTTGTAATGTGATGATAGAATTGTACTTTTTGGACTGTTTCTTGTGCAGGTTACAGGTTATTAGGCTTGGCAGAATTCAATTTAAAAAAAAAAAATGTTGACAGACATTTTTATTTTTAAGCTTATTTTCCAATTTTAATCAACTTAAATTTTCACAGTTGTGGGGACCCATTGGGGTTCAGATGATGGGGAGGTCAGACATTAATTATTTAATGACAATAGATGTTGATATTAAAAATGTTTAAGTTTTATCATCATTAACACAAATTGTCCACATCACATGTCAAAATATACAAGTAAATAGCCTTAATTCAAAACTCTAAAAACTTCTCAAGTAGCATTTTTCTTACTTTGCCTATCTGCAAACTTTATGATCAACAGAAATAATTTTTCATCTGTTTGTGTGTGTATGGTGAAATCAAACTTTACCAATAAAAAAATCGAACCCTTTGAAGGCTAGGTATGAAAGACCTGATTCACCACAGCATTACTCCAATTTCAAACTGGTGTAACTCCATTTGAAATCCTTTAAATCTGGCCTCACGTTTGTGTTACTGTTTCTAACCAGCTGTAATATTTAAGTATTTACTGTTAAAAATATTAGAAAGAAATGCAAGATTGTGAGGAGGACTTTCCCCCTTAAGTTATAAATTTTTGGAGACAAAAAAAAAAAAAAAATCAAATTGGAAGAAAAAAAAGTGAAAAATTTGATTTAGGAAAAAAAGGCAATTTTTTTGTCAAAAGAAGTTTTGATGGAGAATTTTCAGAGAACTCTGATGTATAAAGGGACAGATCTTCAGGAGGTGTAGTTCCCTTGACTGCAATGGAGGTACACTGATGCAGTGTACACCAGATGTACACCAGATCAGGATCTGGAAAAAAAAAACGTAACAAAAAAGCAGCAAAAAAGGACATTATGCCGAAATGCCAGTTATGTCATTTGTTATATACAAATATCAGATATCTTCACTGCTCTCCTCAAAATCATTGATATAGTTAGAGATCACTTGGACAGGATTAAAAGGCAACAAAACGGAAGGAATCTTTACATGCATAGCTTTTTTTTTTGGTTTAATCTTTATGTATTTACTCACCTAAATAGCCTGAGATTATCTGCAAGTTTCGGTATGTCTGTAATGTCCTCCTAAGGATAATCAAGGATACATTCTATTACAACACACTTCCTAAACTGCTGTCACACTCTTCAGGTCCTGCTTTCTTACCAGAGTTCTCAGGATATAAAGCTAAGGGATTTAATTCAGTGACTTCAGTGGGAGCGAGCTCGGGACCCCAAATGACATACCAAAGTGTTATCCATTTTTCCACCTTCCAGCGTTACTTCCAGATTGGAAAGCGCAGCTTCCACTTCATCTACTTCAGATTCATTTGTGAAGTCTTGTGCCTCTGATGATAACGATAACTTGCTTAAGTGATACTGTAATAAAATATAGAGAGTTGGATTGAAAGGCCTAGTTTATTTCAAACGTACTGTCAATATCACTAGCTACCTGTAAGCGAAGACTCTGAAAAGAGTGCAATCGATTTTCTAGGGTGGGGTCCACCTGGTGTGGGCCTCCATAGTGAGGAATTAGGATGGAATTTCCATTGACTGTAAACGATAGGGTAAATACAATAGGATTTCTAATGCAATTATTGCTAAAAAGCTTGTACGGCGATTCCCATTGGTGACATTCCACTCTTGGATAATTCTACATTCTGTCAGGGTGCCCCCCCACCCCCTGGCTAACAATCTCACCCCTGGCCCCGCAAATGTTTCTAAAAGATGTTCTGGTTCAAACAGGAATTATGCTAGGGAAGTTCTATGGCCAGTTGTGATGGGGGTAAGCAAGGCCCAATTACCCACCTAGGCTACACCTGGAGGAGGACCCAGGGAGCAAGGAGGACTAATTAAAGAGGAGGCTCCGCTGGACAGGAACAAGGGGAGCCTATATAAAGCCCATAGCTGAGAGCAGAAGGGGGTGGGGCCGGGGTGATGGAGGATTCCCTGACCCCAAATGAAGTCACTCTGGAAACTGAAGAAGAGTCTATTAGAGAGGGAGAATGGGTACAAAGGGGTTGTCTACACTTACAGAGCTGCAGCGCTTAATGAAGATGCTACCTACACTAGGGGTATAGATTTTCCCCTGAGCGACGTAGTTGTACTGATATAAGTTTGTAGTGCAGGCCAGGGCAAAGTAGGGGAAAGAAAAGAATAGAAGCAGAATCAGATGATGATAGCAGCAAAAAAGAAAAGCTGAGGAAGGAAATAGCCCAAAATGTTCTCTTGGTAAGATCCCTAGCCAAAGAAATAAGATTACACAATATTAACCCTGTGAAAGTAGCTGCTTGGATTTAAAAAAAAGTGTAGGGGATATTGTAAGAGCTAGGAAGCTGTGGGATGGTGATCTTCTAGTTGAACGTAAAAACAAAGAGCAAGCTGATAAACTGCTAAAAACTAAAATCCTGGGAAAGTTAAAATAAGTTGCCAGCTACCAAAGTATTTGACTGAAATAAAGGGTGTAACAGATGGCATGGTATTAGAGCTGACCAGCGATGAGATAACCAGAAGCATAGGAGAAGATAAAGTATTAGTCACTTCCTTACTAATGAGTAAACGAGAAGAAAGCAAGGCATCAACAGCTGTACCGATTACATTCAAGGGAGCAACTACACCTGGGAAAGTAACATTAGGTTTTCAGATACTAAGAACTCAGCCATATAACCCCCGCTCTTAAGGTGTTATCAGAGCCAATGGTATGGACATGTAGTGGCTGTTTGTAAAGGGAAAACAAGACGTGGTAAATGTGGGGGAAAGCATTCCTATGAAAACTGTTGAGAAGAGACAGAGGTCATGGGTCGTAACTGTGGTGGTAACAACAGTCTGGCATACGGAGGGTGTATTGGGGCAAGCTAAAGAGATACAAAAAAGACAAAAACTGTCAGTAACATGTGAAAACTGGAAGGAGACTTTCAAAGCAGCACGTGGAGAAGAAAAAGAGACAATCAGCACAGGAAAAGGGGACCCGCAGACAGAGCCTTGTTCTATAAAGAATATGATAAACGCCGCATAAGGAATAGGTTTTCCCAATTACCTACCAGTAGTGAAAAAAGAAAGGTTTATTGCATTTGTGATAAAAGTGATGGACTATATATGACAAACGGGGGGAATCAGAAAAAATGAAAATTAACAGAAGGGCACTGGAGAAATACTTGTATATTAGCAACTTGTCAATGGACCACATTTGTTCAATTTTGAATGAAGTTAATGGTGAAATATGACTAGTACGGGGATCTCAGTCTTTTGTTGGAATGCACACAGCCTGACAGCACATGGTCAAGAACGAAAAGGAAATATCCTGGAAATGAAAGCTAAACCAGATGTCATATGTAACCAGGAAACGTGGCTGAAAAGCTTGCCTTTAAAATTCCAGGGTATCTTGCTGTTTGGCAAGACCAAAAACGAGGAAGAGGAGGAGGTGTTTTGTACTTTCATAAGGAGAAAGATTAAACGACAAAGCAGTCGAGAATGAAGAAGCAAGCCGACCGTACAATACTGCGAGATCCCAATGCAGAAGAGTAATATTTCTTTAAGGATTTATACTATTTATAATTTGTGGCAAATTAGGAAGTTCAGAGCTACAAGAGATAGTGAAGAATGCTAAAAGACCATATGTTATATGCAGTGACCTAAACAGTCATCATAAATTGTGGGGAAGTAAGACAACTGGTAAACATGGTGCATGCTTAGAAAAGTTCATTGATGAAAACAATCTAGTAGTTTTAAAACAATGGCACCCCAGCTAGATTTAATGCAGCAGGTAGTAGTTTTTCCTAATTACATCTGGGAATTATAACAACAGGTATCGAAAGTAAATGCAACTGAGAAGTATATATGGAAGAAGGAATGGGGAGTGACCATTTCCCTGTATTTATTACTTTTCAAGGGCAAAGTAAGGTGGAAGACAATGGAAAGTGACCCACCTGGAATTTTAAGAAAGCTAACTGGGAGCTATTTACAAATAAATGTACTGAATTTGTGAATAATCATTGGGTGAGCAATGACAGAGAATTTCAGTGATAATGTAACAAAGGGATTAATGGCAGCAACTACGGTAACCATACCTGGGATATTTAAGTACCCCAAAACTAAAAAATAAAACTAAAAATCACTTTCCATGGTGGAATGAGGAATGCAAAATGGCAGTTAAAGAAAGAAACAAATCCTATAAAAAAGCAAAAAAATACAATGAATAATGAAGATCTAATGAAGTATAAAAGTAGTAAGGCAATAGCACAAAGAATTATAAAAAACAAAAATCAAAGAAAGGGTTGGAGTAAGTACTGTGGGTGGATAAACTAAGATCCCAAGACATCAGAAATATACAGGCAAATTAGAAGAATGAATGGAATTCAGACTAAGGCTATGTCTACATGACATCATTTACAGCTGTGCCATTGTAGCACTTCTGGTGAAGATGCTCTAAGCCGACGAAAGAGAGCTCTCCCATTGGCTTAATAATTCCTGCCTCCGCGAAAGGCAGTAGCCACGTTGGCAGGAGCTCTCATATCCTGTCTGGGTAAAATTATGGAGCGAATGGAAGATTGGATGCCTATTTGGAACACAATGGCATTACAGAGATGGTGCAGAGCATTTTACGAAAGGAAGATGCACCACTGAGCACACTGCATAATTAGAAACTGTAATGCAAAGTAGTAGGAGATACAGGGGTCTTTATTTTTGAGTAGAAGGACCATACAGGTCAGAGTTGGGAAGTTATGTCGAATATATAGAATATTAACACTTCCCTGCGGTGTACCATTTTTATCAACCTAAGTGCTGGGGTAGGTGTCACTCTATTCACCCTGCTCTGTGGGTTAGGAGCAGGAATATTGAGGTGGCAGAAGAGAGACTCAAAGTGTTGAGAGACCTCCGGCTGGGGAAATGCATGGGATTTCAAGTTCTCCATTGCTAAAGCCAAAGGATTGTTTTTTAGAAAAAGGAATGTAAACAGTATCTGTATGGAGAACACATGTAGTTAAAAGGTTCAAATTCTGAGGGGTAATATTTGATACTAAATTACTTTGGAAAGATCATATAAACTATGTTAAAGATAAATGTACAGGAAGGATTAATCTGTTTACAAGGCTTCAGAGTAGCAGCCGTGTTAGTCTGTATCCGTAAAAAGAAAAGGAGTACTTGCGGCACCTTAGAGACTAGTCTTTACAAGGCTTGCTGAGACTAACTGGGGGTGGATAAGAAAACACTGCTGATGGCATACAGAGCCTTAATCACACCAGTTATGGACTATGGCTGCCAAGCTTTAGGGGCAGCACTAAAATCAGATCTTAAAAAATTAGATTTAACGCAAGCCCAGACACTACAAATGGTGTGTGGTGCATTTATAACACCACCTCTGTGTGCACAGAGAGCTGCAAGTGAAATGCCAGTTACGCTGTGAATGAAACTACTGGACCTAACTTTCTGGGCCAACGTTAATGGGAACTGCAACGATGAAAGTGCTAAACAAATTTATGAGCATTGTTGGGAATTTGATAGGCAAACTATAGCCTACCATGTTAGACAGCCACGTGCCGTTCGAGATGAAGTGTGGAGGCAGGAATTGAAAGACCAGGAAAAGCCAATGAAATCAAAACTTTCAGTCATGGGAAAATGAGTTATGGATGGAAAGTCACATGTCCAAACATGGATATATATTTACTTTATAAACTTAAGGGTAAAAGAGAGGCAGTAGGTGTTTAAAAATGCAGTATACCAGTATATAGATGAAAAGTGGAGTCGGTTTTGTTAAATATACGCAGACAGGTCCAAAAAAAAAAAAAAAAAAACCAACCAAACAAAAAAGACCAAAACAAACCCAAGACGGGAAGAGTAGTGACGGTATATTATATACCAAAATTGGGCATCAGTACATCTAAAAGAATCTCTGACTATTTGGCTGTCACGCAGAGGTGGATTAAAGGTCTCCTGGGGCCCTGGGTTGGAGCAAGCAGGGGGGCCCCGGCACTGGAACTGTGGCCTGCCCCACCCCTTCTGCTGCAGCCCCACTCCTGTTCTACCCATGGCTCCACCCCATTTCACCCTCCCCCCCCCCCCCCCCCCCCGAGGCCTCACCCCATTCCACCCATGGCCCCAACCCATTCTCCCCCTTCCACCTCCCTCACTGCGGCCCCAAGACTGGAGAAACTCTGTGCTGCAACGGGGAGAGCTCCTCCAGCCTCATGGCTGTGGGGGGCGGAAAGAGAGATTTTTCCAGTAGCCCCAAATTGGCCAGAGCCTCTGGGCACGGACCCCGTGCGATAATCTGCCACTGTTGTCACAACAGCTGAACGAGTAGCAATAAATTAGATCTGGGATGTATGCCCAGCAGCAGTGGTAATTTTTTTCTGATTCAATCTCACGCTTTATGGCAATAAAAAAGGGCATCTCAGTACGTAGAAGTGATTTAATCAATTAAGTTATATTTCTAATAACAGAGTCCGTACAGATGGGGATACGTGTAGCATTAGCTTGGACCCCAGTACATATTGTGTTAACACAGAACGAAATGGCAGACAAAGCAGCTAAAAATGCTGTAAGAAATGGAAGGATTGACATAGAAATACACTTGGGGAAACCTGGTACAGAGAAATGTAAAAGACAAATGGCAAAAAAATTGGATTAATGAAAAAGGAGGCAGAAGATTTTTTGAATGGTGCCCTAGAGTTCTGACATATATCATAATACAGGGCCTGGATTGGACTATGGAAGTGCTTTTATTAAGAGTACAATCTGACCATTGTGGCTTAAACAGAAATCTTTTTTAAATAAAAAGTCAAGAGATGGACTATATTTACCTGAAGGTGGAAGAAACAATCCATCATCTTTGATGGGTATGTCAGGGCTTTAATAAAGAAAGGGAAAGGCTTTTTGAGGAATTCAAACATATTAAGGAAAAATAATTACATTATGTGATTTAGTAAAAGAACTGGGAAATGGGGTATTATTAAAGAGGCACTGTTACATTCCCTGAAGGACACCGGACAGAGCAAGAGGCTAAAAACCGCTAAGTATTGAGGAGTTATACCATAACAAGGAGAAAAAGAAAAGAAAAAGCGGGGGACTGCAGTCACTCTCAAGGTGAGAGACAGTAAGGTAGGAAGTAGCCCAGGGATACAGCAGTGAGGTTCGGTAATGTGCAGACCTTGGCTGCTTGTTGTAGGGTCTTTAGGCTGGAACCCATGTAGAGAGCAGGCCTAGGTTCCCCTACCAGCCACTGAGCGGTGGCACCATTAAGGAGCAGTCAGAGGAAGGACTGCCTGGGACACTGGGTCCTGAGAGACTTTGATACCCCGGAAAGGGAGGACGAGAGTGACCTGGCTAGAGGGGCAAGCCACAAAGTGGGAGCAGTTGAGTCCCAAAGGAGCAAGACAAGGAGAGTGATGCAGTGAGCAAACGCTGGAGGGATGTTGGACGGGCAGAGCTAATCCACAGATGCGGCCAGAAGGAGGCGCTCCGGCAGCGAGTAGAACACCCTGTGACACCTGTGGTCAGATCAGATGATCACAGCGGTCCCTTCTGGCTTTGTAAGCTACAAATCCATAACTCCAGGCTTCAATCCATACTCTGGGGGCAAACTGGATCTAAATTCTGCAGCTGCAGACTGCAGGATTCTGTGACACTCGGAGGTGGCAAACTTTGAATTCCATGGAAACTCCATTTTAAAATAAAGGGATTTTATCATCAACTATTATTTGTGCTGGACCAGAACCCTGTAGTGTCGTAGGACCACAACGCTATTCATTGTCAAGTTAAACTCAAATTTACTTGACACTGTCCCCACATTTTCAGATTTTTATATTGTCAAAATATAACTGCATTGTAGAAACCCCCAGAGAGTAAAGAGGGATTTTGAATGGTAGTAAATAAAGCAACTCTTTTTCCAAACGAAGCCATTATTAAAAGGCTACCCTGTAGGCAGTTAATACTGAAGAAGAAATGCTTTCTGAAATGGAAAATAAATAGCTCTCATTTAATGTGGTTATAGTTGCTTTAGAAACGGTTAATAAATGGTTACATAAGGCATATGTGTTGCATGTAAATAATGGACATTGTTTTAATCAGAGCATGAAACACTTCACAGAATCCAACAATCAATCTCTGGACGAACTCTAAGCACAACTGCAAACAACTGCTCAAATTGAGGAATTAGCTTGTGCTCTTTCCATTACCTTCCTGCCCTAGCTTGTGTCTACCCCTCTTGAGAAAACCGGTTTTTCAACTAGGATCAAGTACATGCCTGTAATGCAGCAAAGATCAACATTTCTTCCTCCGTGCAGTCAATTTCTTCTAATAGGATGGCCCACCGGGCTTGTTCATATAGCTGGTTTATTCGCACTGCATCATACTGGCGGCAGAGAGATAAAATGCTGCATTAGTTCATGTAGGAACTCTTTGACTAGAGGAGACAGTGGATGACATTCTAGCCCCATTGACTTCAGTGGGGCCAGGATTTCACCCAGAATGTTTTAATCAGACTAGAAAGCACATTGTTATTTATCTAAAATGCCTGAAAGGAAACAATTAATTCACACCCCCACAAGGCAAGATTTTCAGCTGGTATAAGCCGGTACAGCTACAATTTACAATGGAATTTTCCTGACTTACACCAGCTAAGGATCTGGCCATAATTAATTGATGTTTTTAACACCAAAACAAAAACAGCACTCAACTTACTGTAATCTTTGTAAAAAGAAAAGGAGTACTTGTGGCACCTTAGAGACTAACCAATTTATTTGAGCATAAGCTTTCATGAGCTACAGCTCACTTCAAGTCACTATCAGTGCAAATGCAAAGAACTAAGAGCTAAACTTAAAGTACTCAAGGAACTTTAGGAGCTTAAGTCCCAGTTTCAAAAGCGACTTAGGCACTTGAGAGTCCAAGTCCCATTAAAAGGCAAGGAGACTGAGGTTCCCAGTGGAATTTCAGTGGGCACTCGGCACCTACATATCTTTAAAAGTCTGGCCCAAAGTGACTTTTGAAAATGAGAATTAGGCTAAGTGCTTTTGCAAATGTTACCCTGATTATTCTTGTTGCCCATGTTGAGAGAAATGCAGGAAATAAACAAGCACTTTCGAAAGCCTGACCACTTCTTCTGGTGGTCTTTGGACTAGGCCCTTATAGTTAAGAAAATCTTAGGGCTATATCTTGGCCCTGTCATCTCAAGGGCCTGGAGCCCGGTTAGGGCTACACTCCCTGCTCACAGAGCACTCCATGCATCCTGGCGGAGTTCAGTGTCCTTGATGGGTTGCTGCTTACGGGTTGGAATCTTTAGTGACTCCGTGGAGGGAGGCTGGGGGGCAGGTCTCAGCTCTAGAGATCTGGAAAGGGGGCACAGAGATGAACAGCCCACTGGGATGCAGAGCCCCTCTGCCATGCAGTCAGGAAGAGAGGCAGAAACAGGACCCCCAGCGACAACCCCAACAGATAACAGGAATGTACCTGGAGGTGGACAATCCTGGGGACACAGCTCTGACCTCTCTCCCATTTTTCTGGCCTCTTTGGACCCAACCCAACTGCCAGTGAAGCCAATGGGAGCCGTTCCACTGATTTCAATGGAGCAGGAGCAGTATCAGGCCTTTTGATACCGGAGGGGACCAGGATGCGTGAACAGCCCCTTGGGTATCAAATACTCAGCGAAGAGGGCAAACTCTTAGCTGAAAGATCCGCAAGGAGCAGAATTCACTGAATATGAGGAGACTTCCAAGCAACTCTTTATTGTGATTCCTAGCTAAAACGCAAGAGACTTGTGCTGCAGCTCCTAAACACGAAAGCTGGCCAAACAAAGAGAAACAACAGAAACCAAGAGTTAAGAGACTCTTACTTTTGGATTCAGATCAAAGAAAGCGTAGTACTTAAAGCGTAAGAGAAGCTGATCGTCCTCCTGGACGCCTTGTTCCATAAGCGATCGTGATGAATCCAGCCAGCTGGAGAAAAAACGAAAGACGAAGTCAATTGTGCCAGGAAAACAATGTCAGATACAAAGCTACAGAGTAACTCTAATGAACGAATAGTTTTCGCTCCTACAAGCACAGGCAAATTCACATAACTCAAGCATGCTGCATTTTTGCATGGGTGTCTAAAGTACTGAAACAAAGGTACACAAGAACTACCAGGCTGGGTCACAGAATCCTAGAATATCAGGGTTGGAAGGGACCTCAGGAGGTCATCTAGTCCAACCCCCTGCTCAAAGGGGTCAGACCCCACATCCACCCAATCCACTATGCTCTTTTCCAACAGTAGCTAGGACCAGTTGCTTCAGAAGGTAGTGTAAAAAACCCTGCAGTAGGCAGTTATGGGGTAACCTGCCCCCAAGAGAAGTTTCCTCCTGACCCCCATTAGCGAGATGTTGTTTAGGCCTTGAAGTATGAAGATTTCTGTCCCTTCCAAACCTCTCACCTATTATTTTAGCGCCTGCTATTATAACTCCAGCTACTCTGGTCATCCATATAAATGTCTAACCTGCAAAGTTCGAAAATCTGAACACACGTTCCAACATTGAAATACATAAAAAGTGAGCCGTTACTGTTCTTGAAATGAATGCTAAGAAAATCTAGTGTCTTTATGCCATACGATACAGACAGCACCGTGCAATAGCTTGTTAACTTTAAGCACATGAGTAGCCCCATTGACTTCTAAGTGCTTTGCTGACCAGCTCCCTAGATGTCTAAATGACAAAGTAAAGGCTAAAAGACAGGACCACTGTCGGCGTGCACTAGGTCAGCTTGTGGGATTACAAATCCTGATAGCCCCCATCTAACAAGAGCCCTTGCTGGACATCTCATGCCAAAGCACGCACCAAGATCATCATATGTCAGTAAAGACCTAGGAGTGGTCTTTGTTGGTGCTGAAGAGCCAGCAGAGGGAGCATGCAGTAGTCCACTGTTTAGTCAAGGTGCATTCCTGGGAGGAATTACTGATTTGCAATGATCAAGGGGAGGGGTGGAGCCTTAAGTGACAGAAAGCTAAAAAAAAAAAATGCAGTTTTCCTTCGTGGAAAACACTAGCAGGCTCAGGGATTCCTCTGCCAGGTCTTCAGTTATGGCTGAAGTCTAGGCATGCACACAGAGGAGCATGATCGACACATGATCTACAGAGGATGTGGGTCTGTTATAGCTTCCACTTATACGGCAACTGCCATCTTGGTCAACACACTAGGGATTGAAACTGGGTCCTCCAGAACTGAAAACAGAAGTCTACAGTAGGGCTGATTGAAAAATTTCCATCAAAAGTGTTTTTCTGTTAAAAGTCCAAGCTCTTCAGTTTGGCTCTTTAGCTCAAGCTGTAGCAGCTCATGCTTTTAGCTTTGGAGGTCCCCAGTTCAATCCCTGCTGTGTCAATGAAGAAGGTGGCCATCACACATGCCCTCAGCGCTTTATTTAAGGAGGAGCCACGATTAACAGAGGGCCAAATTCTCCTTTCAGTTACACCAATGCGATCTTACTCATTTCAGTGGCTTTGCAGTGGTCCGATAACATAAAAAGAGTCTGGACTAAATTTTTATTTATGTTGCTGATCACTTAAAACAAAATCCCACCCCCCAAAAAAATGTGGCATAAAGGCAAAAAAAGAGTCAACGAAGCATTTATGAGACAAGAACTAGATCAAAGGACCCTTTTTAAGAAACCACGCAGCTAAATGCAAGAGTTATGTTTTCAAATTCTGTGTTTCATTTCTTAAAAGGCCTTGATTGGTGCCAATTCGGCTAAGCGAGCTTACATGCCAAAGAGAAGCATCCTTACCCTGCATTAAGTTTGGCTTTGTCAGCTAAGGTCCGAGGCTGGTACATTTCAGCCAGTGTTTCTGGAGAACAGTTGGGATGGCTGAAGGCAAGGATGTTGCAGTTCGGTGCGGTCAGAGGGCTGTCACTGAACCAAGTAATAGTAGAAGAGACTGGTGTTCCATTGACAGGATCATAAATGGGAGTCATAGTTTTACTATACAAACCAGGACTTGCTGCAAGTTAAAAACAATAATGTATTATTATAAGGGAGTTGGTAGTGGCCGCTCTCTTTAAGTTGCTTAACGCTTTATGTTCTACAGGATTCTAAACCTTTTCTTTGAGAAGCTCTCACACCTCCATTGTTCGAAGCAGGCCTTAGATATTTGGCTGGGGAAATGCCCGCTGGGTAGAGAAGCACCTTTTCGTTGTCCCATGAAATTCCACTCAGATTTGGCGGAGATATAAAATGTTAAAAAGTCAGCAGTTCCATTCTCTCCCTTGCAGGCTGTCAGAACGGACTGACCATTCCAAGGCTGGTCTCGTGCTGCCAAGGAAGCAGCAGTATATACTGTCTGCAGGGCTGGGGCCTTAGTCAGTTACCCTTTTTGTCTGTGTGGGTCTTTCATGAGCACCGGGACAGAAAAACCATTAAAAAAAAAATAGGAAAATGTGATTGTAAAGCCACAATGGAGACTCAAAGGCTAGGATAGGACCTGAAACTACTTTCAAATAATTTTTTAAAATCTGGCTAGATTTCATGTCAACAGCATCCCTTTAACTTCTGCTTCCCTGCAAACCTCTGCACCTCCTCCTGTTTTAATTGCACAACATGAAGAACTGTTTCCCCCTCCTTGGGCTTAAAATATTTCTCTTAAAAAAAAAAAACCAAACAGCGGAATAAAGTCCATCTGAGTTTTTGTTACCTGGTGATCCTGAAATCACTGGAGAGTTGTACAGGTTTAAAATGTCTTCTATGACTGGTTCTTTGTTATTCTTGTCTTTTTTCTTTTTCTTTTTCAAAGTATCTTCCGATTGTTTCAACAGAGAGAGTTCTTCTGATCGTCTAATATCTACAACGATAAGTGCTGAAGTTAAGGCTATGGAATCTTACAAGATAATGGCCAATAAAAACAAAACATGGCAACATCACTTGGGACTCCTCCGTATTCAGGGCTGTATCCTACAACACATCTCCACAGAAGCACCCACAATTCAGCCGCAAAGCCAAGTGAAGACCAAAGACGCAGTGGTGATGCTGAGAACTTTGGAAGTGATAGTCTTACGGTGATAAACTAAATAGATTCATAGATATTAAGGTCAGAAGGGATCATTATGATAATCTAGTCTGACCTCCTGCACAACGCAGGCCACAGAATCTCACCCACCCAAATATTGAGGTTTTTGGGTCTAACAAAGAGACAGTTAAGGGATGACTTAATTACTGTCTATAAGTACCTACATGTGAAACAAATATTTAATAGTGGGCTCTTCAATCTAGTTGAAAAAGGTATAAGGTGATCCAATGGCTGGAAGTTGTAGCTAGACAAATTCAGACTGGAAATAAGGTGTAAATTTTTAAACAGAGTGTGTAATTAACCATTGGAAAAATTTACCAAGGGCTGCAGTGGATTCTCCATCACTGACAGTTTTTATATCAAGACTGGATGTTCTTCTAAAAGATCTGCTCTAGGAGTTATTTTGGTGGCGTTCTATGGCCCGTGTTACACAGGAAGTCAAACGCGATGATCCCAGTGGTCCCTTCTGGCCTTGAAATGTATGGTGTGGGTTTTCCCAGGATTTAGCCCTCTTTTTGTAATAAAGTATGGCTGTTGATTAATCGCAGTTAACTCACGTGGATTAACTCAAAAAAATTAATCGCGATTAATCGCAGTTTTAATCGCACTGTTAAACAATATAATACAAATTGAAATGTATTAAATATTTTTTGATGTTTTTCTACATTTTCAAATATATTGATTTCAATTACAACACAGAATACAGTGTACAGTGCTCACTTTATATTATTGTTTTTGATCACCAATATTTGCACTGTAAAAACGATAAGGGAAATAGTATCTTTCAATTCACCTCATACAAATACTGTAGTGCAATCTCTTTATCATGAAAGTACAACTTAAAAATGTAGATTTTTGTTACATAACTGCACTCAAAAACAAAGCAATGCAAAACTTTAGAGCCTACAAGTCCACTCAGTCCTACTTCTTGTTTGGCCAATCGCTAAGAGAAATAAGTTTGTTTATATTTATGAGAGATAATGCTGTCCGCCTCTTATTTACAATGTCACCTGAAAGTGAGAACAGGCATTCACATGGAACTTTTGTAGCTGGCATTGCAAGGTATTTAGATGCCAGATGAGGCATACGAATATTTAGCATTTCATGCTTTGGCCACCATTCCAGAGGACATTCTTCCATGCTGACGACGCTCGTTAAAAAAATTATGCATTAAATAAATTTATGACTGAACTCCTTGGGGAAGAATTGTATGTTTCCTGCTGTTTTACCCGATTTCTGCCATATATTTCATATTATAGAAGTCTCACTTGACGACCCAGCACATGTTGTTCAATTTAAGAACATTTTCACTGCTGACTTGGCAAAACGCAAAGAAGGTACCAATGGGAGATTTCTAAAGACAGCTACAGCACTCAACCCAAGGTTTAAGAAACTGAAGTGCCTTCCAAAATCTGAGAGGGATGAGATGTGGAGCATGCTTTCAGAAGTCTTAAAAGTGCAACACTCCAATGCGGAAACTACCCAACCTGAACCACCAAAAAGAAAAATCAACCTTCTGTTGGTGGCATCTGACTCAAGATGATGAAAATGAACATGTGTCGGTCTGTACTGCTTTGGATGGTTATCAAGCAGAACCCGTCATCAGCGTGGAAGCATGTCCTCTGGAATGGTGGTTGAAGCATGAAGGGACATAAGAATCTTTAGCATATCTGGCACATAAATATCTTGCGGCGCCGGTTACAACAATGCCATATGAATGCCCGGTCTCACTTTCAGATGACATTGTAAACAAGAAGTGGGCACCATTATCTCCTGCAAATGTGAACAAACTTGTTTGTCTGAGTGACTGGCTGTACAAGTAGGACCGAGTGGACTTTCTAGGCTCTAAAGTTTTACATTGTTTTATTTTTGAATGCAGTTATTTTTTGTACATAATTCTACATTTGTAAGTTCAACTTTCATGATGAAGAGATTGCACTACAGTACTTGTATGAGGTGAATTGAAAAATACTATTTCTTTTGTTTTTACAATGCAAATATTTTTGATAAAAATATAAAGTGAACACTTTGTATTCTATTGTAATTGAAAAATATTTGAAAATGTAGAAGACACCCAAAATATTGAAATAAATGGTTTTCTATTATTGTTTAACAGCATGATTAATCATTCGATTAATCGTAATTTTAAAAAATTGTGCGATTAATCGCAATTAATTTTTTAAATTGCTTAACAGCCCTGTAATAAAGTCGATTGCATTTGAGAAGACCATAGTACAGATTTTCCTCTGACTAACACCCATGCAACTGCCTTTGACCACGTTGACTTCAGTGGAGGGGCTTGCGCCAATCTAAGTGAGAACAGAATTAGGCCCACCATAGCTGAAATACACACATTTCATTTCCCAGTTTATAGCATTTCATTTTCACATGCATGCCCAATCTTGACTATATGCTACTGATATGAATGCAATATTGTGCTAAGCACATATGCTGTTAGATGCATTCCTCGTACTTTGCTTTCTAGAATATAAGAGTATTGTTCATAAACAAAGAAACTTTACATCTGATTCATTCATGCAAAAACATTCCAGGTTGAATTAAAACATGAACCGCATAAGCAATTTTTGTGGGTAGGAATATTCAAATCCAATCAAATGCTGGTTAAGCAATTATGGTGTCACTGCATCATAGCTGCTAAGTGTAATAAAGACATTCCACCCCTTTTATATTCCAATGCTAGAAGACTGAACTAAAAATTGCACTGTGGTTAACATGGCTTGGGTTGACAAATTTTTTATGGAGCTAGGTGTGTTGATCTTTGAAGATCTAGGTTAAAATGGGGATTAGGTATGCTCTCAAATGAGAAGAGCTTGGAGATTGATGTGGTCTCAGTTTAATCCTATTAGCTAAAAAGTTACTGTAGATTTGGCATATTTCAAAGCCACTGCAAATCGCAGCTTGGGATAAATCTGTCATTGGCATACCAGGCTTACTGTGGCTCAGCACTGTAGTATGTTGACAGGGCTGTGCTGGGAAGCAGGATGGATGTCCTGGTCTGATCAGTGCTACAAGCTTCTCAAGCACTAAAATTCACTTCTTAAGAAATAAAAAACAATGGGCCTGATCAATTCTCACCTCATTTATGCTACTGTAATCTGGGAGTAACTCGACCCACCCTGTGGGCTACACTGTTGTGAGGCCGGTGCAAGAGCAGAACGGGGCTCAAGCTGTTCCGTGCACAGCGTGAAATGGGTTGGTGGCTTCAGCCACCTAAAGCCACCCTCAGAACTCTCGCTAATCAGCAACCACATGGGTCACAGGCAATATTACCTCTAAGATGCGTACGCGCATACAGACCCTAAACCCCACGCACATGGCGAAACACTGCGCGCACAAAAATTTGCACAGAAGAAATTTTTTGTGCACACGGCCTGTCAAAAATTAGAGGGAACACTGGTCACAGGAGAAGCTCCTGATAATGTTATCGATCAGGGCTCTGTAAGGGCGGAGACCCACCCTCTTAGCCAACCTGCACTGGATACTGAATGTAAAAGTCTGTGCTCTCTTTGGAAAGGTCTGGGACTGAGGTCATAGAGTTTAGGGCCAGAAGGGCCCACCAAACCTGCTGTATAGCACAGGCCACCAACACCACCAGCCACCCCCACACCAAGCCCAACAATCAGAATGAGACCTCAGTGGTTTGAGCATTGGCCTGCTAAACCCAGGGTTGCGAGTTCAATCCTTGACAGGGCCATTTAGGGATCTGGGGCAAAAATTGGGGATTGGTCCTGCTTTGAGCAGGGGGTTGGACTAGAGGAACTCCTGAGGTCCCTTCCAACCCTGATATTCTATGATTACTGCCCTTGGGAGACTAAACTATTGTTCTCTGCTGTAGCAGCGTGGAGGGACAGAGTGCACCAATGCCTGGGGCCCTGTTAGTGGCAGGGAAGTGATATGCCCACATGATCTTAGCCTGTGACCCTCACCCCATGCTACAGAGGAAGGCAAAAAGCCACCAAGGTCACTGCCAATCTGAATGGGGGGAAATTTCTTCCCAGCCTCGAATACGAGGGGTCTCTTTGAACTTGGAAGGAGTTTTGCATGAGTAGGGGGAGCAGACACCAAGCCAACAGGAAGCCCTGAAATACACCTGCAATCAGATGAAGCGTCACTTACTGAGGGTTTTGCAGATGTCACTGACAGCCTTGAACACCACCGAAGAGAAGCTGACCTTCAGCCGCACGGTTTTCATGTTCGGCAAGCAGAGGCGCAGCATCTTGTGCTGCGTGGTAAAGAGCAGCTTGGCATCCGCCTGCACCCCACACTTATCCAGCGTCCAGTGGGTCTTCAGAAGCCAGCACTTCTTCTGCTCCCACCAAAGAGCGTAGTCTGACCAGTCCCGTGATAAATCTAGGGCAAGATCAAACAAGGGCATGCAAAGTACGCGATCGGTAACAAACTATAAAGCAGATCCACTCAGAAGTCTTGTTTTGAAACACGGAGCTACAGATCAGATGAACAATGAGAATGTTATTAATATCTGTACTGCGGTAACCCTGAGATCGAGGCCCCAGTGTGCTACACACTGTACGAACACCCAGTAAGACAGAGGCCCTGGTTCAAGTTCCCTGAGGAGGAAAAGGGAATTAAACAGGGATCTACCATCTCCCAGGTGAGTGTCCTAACTATTGGGCTATTCTAGTGTATGACTCCCTCAATCTCGCCTGCTGCTGCTGTTCCACTTTAATTTAATAATTAAATATTAATTGGGCCAGAGAAAGAGTGAGGAAGATTCTACAGGCTTGTAAACCTGAGAGGTGGCAGATCCCTGTTCCAATCCTTTCTCCCGCTCAGGTGGAGGAGGGTCTTGAACTGGGGGTCTCCCACATCCTGGGGTGAGCACCCAATCCACTAAAGATTGTGAGGAAAGTCCCACCCCAGCTGTTTTGTGTGAACTCACCGGAGGGGCCCGAGCTGGGAGGCATGCTCAGAGGCCACCTACTGGATTGGGCCCCTGCACGCGACTTGGGAGCAGAACACCTCTTTCCCAGTTTGTGAACTGCTCCAGGGCGTAAGCAGGAAACGGGCATTCAGATGCCCATCTCGAGACAGTAGTGTGCACGCTCAGGAAGGAGATGGGCACTCAGAGAGGGGCTGCAGTGCACCTGCCCAGAAGGGAAAACCTGAGATGCCAAGTGAGGTTAGGCACTACAGGGTTAGGTGGCAGCCGAGCGGGAGGTTTGTGGATCGCAGTGGTGCCTGTGAAGGGGAACAAGGGGAAAGACGGGGGACTCAGGCACTGAAAAATGCAGTGACTTGCCCAAGACGGCTACAGCAGAGCTAGGAGGTGAATCCACATCTTCTGAGCTTTCTCCCACCCTTTGCCCATTTTAGCTATTTGGATTAGAATCTCTTCAAGGCAGGGACCATCTCTCACTATGTGTTTGTACAGCACCTTGCACAGTGGAGCCCTGATCTTGGTTTGGACCTTCACCAATGACTATAAGATAAATGATAAAAAAAGATATAACTGGAGCAAATATGTAGCTGTATGATTTGACAGATTTTCCTTTAATCCAGAATTCTCTACATTATTGCAGAACACACTTCTTACAAAGAGCTTCTAAATAATGAACAACCTGAGCATCATTTCACCCATCACCTAATGAAAATTAACCAGAAATTTAGTTGGATGGATTATCTTTTAAATGCAGGAGTTGCTCGAAAGAGACAAGGTCTTGTGACAAACCACAGCTTTGTGACAGTGCTTATCTACTGCTGGAAGAATAGTTTCCTTGGTAAAATTATTAACTGATGGAAAATTTTTGACCAGCTCTGAAGTGCTTTGGATGGAAAATGTCTATTTCATCAAAATTGAATTTTCTGTGGGAAATGTCAAGTTTTAATTCCCCCCCTCAGTTTTCATTGAAAAAAAACCTAACAAACTGCCTCGCCCAGCACCCCGAACACAGAAATGTTTTGATTTCTGGCAACCTGACATCTTTTAGTTCCGGGGAAAATTTTTAGGTTTACTGAAAATTTTTGCCCAACTGGCTGAAATTTTTCAGGTTTTGGTTCTCAAAAACCAAACATTTAAAAAAAAATGAATTGGTTTTCAGTTGCCAAACCTGAAAACAAAGTTTTTGCTTTTTTGATGAAAACCTGAGAAATGGTGGATTCTCCATCTCTTGATGTCTTCAAACAAAGACAGGATGCCTTTCTAGAAGATATGCTTTAACCAGATCTAATGTAGTGGGTTGAATACAGGAGTAACTGGATGAAATTTAATGGCCTGTGTTATACAGGCAGTCCGATTGGATCCTTTTGGCCTTAAAGTAAGAAACAGCTCTCATTTTAAAACAAAAAATTAAAAATATATCGAACAAAGCAAATTCATTTGTTTCCAGAAAGTTGTAATGTCGAAAGAGAACAGACACAGTTCATGTAGGATCTGGGGTGTGTTGTTGACCTCTAGTTCACTTGGTACTGTAGATTTCTTTTTGTTAAACATCACAGGTAAAAGTCCATGCGGCTGTTCGGTTAAAGGGGTGGAGTGCAAGGGATTAAGGGAATGGACTTTGTGACCTTTTAAATTTTCCTTTGAGTTGTGAAATTACCCCGGTTTCCCCATCAGCTTCAACAGCTCCAGGCTGAATAGGATTTAGGCACTCTTTAAGCTCTTACAAATGAATCCAGTGAACTCTTTTCTACAACAACCACTATCTTGGAAAAGAAACAAGCCACTCAGAAGCATGTTTGATGGTGAAATGCCAGGGCATATGTGTGTGTGTGTGTGTGAATTCTTTAGCATCCTTGAGAACTGGCCTCTCAGTTTGGATGACACTAAGCCCTGGTCTATGCTACAAAATTACTTCGATGTAACTATGTCACTCTGGGGTGTGGATAATCCACACCCCTGCACAACCTAGTTATACTGACCTAAGAGCCGGTGTAGACAGCGCTTTGTCGACGGGAGAGCTTCTCCTACCAACATAGCCACTGCCTCTCGTGGAGGTGGAGTTATTAACCGAGGGGAGAGCTCTCTCCCGTCAGCTTGGGCGTCTTCCCCGGAAGCGCTAGAGTGGTGCAGCTGCACGCTGTAAATTTGTAGTGTAAACCTGTCCTGAATTACAATTCACAGTCACAAAAGAGGTACAGAAAGTTAGTCATGACAGGCCACGCTATGGACTGAGCAAGCTGACCAAAGATGACGGCAGCACTGCTGTTGTATAGGGTAGTCACAAAAGCAAGACGAGAAGTCAAAAGTCAAAGATATGAACAGCGGTGCCCAGATCACATCTCTTCTGTGCCCAGTGCTCTACTCTGAGGAATGCAAAGCCCACTGCATGCACACCTGGCTAATAGAGACAGGCCCTGCTCAGCAGTCAGCAAGAAGGTAACCAAAGATTGCGAGATTTGGAGAGAGCGAATATGCTTGTGGAGAGTGTGGTGGAGGAAATATCTGTATTATGTGAAATCTAGAGACAATGACATTTATAGTCAATATTTTTTTCAGGTATAGTTGTATCTGGAAGCTCCTTCTTGGCCTGTGTGGATCCAACTGCAAGATCAGGACCCGGGATAATTATTTCGGGATGCAGCTTATGTTAGTGGCTGGTACACTGGATTGAGACTCAGGAAATCTGGGTTCTATTCTTGTCTCTGTCACTGAACTGCTGTGGGACTGAGGGCAAGTTACTTCACCTTGCTGCATCTTTGTTTCCTCTCGAACCTTTCCTTTACCTGGTCTATTGAGCCAAGGAAGGGGAGGAGGGGGAAATCCACACATGTAATTTCAATAACAGCATGCCAATTAACTCTCTCTCTCTCTACTCACTGATTTGTTCTACTAATTTGAGCATCACTCCACCAATATGTAGGTCTCCCGAGACCCGAAGTGTAAATTCCTTTTGCTCTTCTTCATACTGGTGATCGACTGTGACAATGAGCTCCCAAGAATTGTATCCATATTCGTTTGAGGAAGTCATCTCAGCAATCTCTATTGTGAGTTCTACAGAGTAGAAGAAATCATAAATCAACAGATGTTCAAAACACAGTGCATTTCAACAAAAATAATAATCAAGACATAGACAATTAAGGCCCTGATGCGGGCAACAGCTCAGAGAGAAACAGCAGAAATTTAAGCAGAGGTGTGGCATGTGTTTCCTCCAGAATCTGCTCCCGCTGGATTTGAATGATTTTAGCCACGAAGTCAGGGAATATTTCTTCAGAACAGGGGGGACTTGAACCAGTGAAACAGCAGACCAGCTCTGTTCAAGCAAGCTTCCCACTCCCTGAAGCAGGCCCGCTGATCACGACTTTACAGACGCTATGGTGGAGGCTGTGACGTTTCGTCCCTCCGTCTATGTAAACTCATGAATTCCATTTGATTTTATGCACCCTGTTTATCTGTTACATCTGATGAAGTGAGCTGTAGCTCACGAAAGCTCATGATCAAATAAATTGGTTAGTCTCTAAGGTGCCACAAGTACTCCTTTTCTTTTTGCGAATACAGACTAACACGGCTGTTCCTCTGAAACCTGTTTATGACTGTGACCTTCAGTGTGGATTATAGCTTCCTTTTTATGGTAGGAGCTGCACCACATCTGAAAATCTGAAATAGGGCCATCAGCAACTGTACAGCCTTACCCGGATAGCTCCAGAGGGGTGCCAGGTAGAGCCACTAACTTTTAGCAACCCTCTGCCTTTCAGAGTGGGGGAGGGGGAGAATGGGAAGAGAACAGCATGAGAACAACATGAGAAGAGAAGCAGGAAGAGGTGTCAGACCCTGCTTTTCAAAGGACAGGCTCTCTAGCAAAGGGAGGAAGACCATCACCAGAGCGAGGAGACTGAGAAGGAGATGTGGGGGGCAAGATGGACCTGGTCCCCTATGACCAAACCCTAAAGGACTCTCAGGAGTGGTAAGGACTCTGAAGGAGGAAACTGCGTTCAACTGTGCATTGTTTTTTCCATAGGTCTGTAAATCTCTTGTGCCGTCTATGAGTAAGGTGAATGTATGTTTAAGAAGTTCTTGGCAAAGCCTGAGTGAGTACCTTGCGTTATCTGCCCTGTGTCTCCGAAGAGTTAAACTATACACTGGAGCGCCCATGAAGGTAGCGTTCTGGGGAGAGTGTGCATAGGATTTGGGGCAGGTTCAGAACTGGTTTTGGGACCTAGGGCAGCTGGACTATGGGGTCCCACAATCCCACAGAGGGGTGTAGGATAGAATGTGCCCAAGAGGTAAGGACTAGAGAGAGCATCTGGACGCTGCTCAGTTTCTGTGGGCTTGGGAGCAGGTGGGATCCAAAGACTGGGTCCAGTACAGCAGACTGGTGACGGCCCACTAGTAGAGATCCTGCCAGGCCTGCAACAGAGGCAAAGAACCATTTCTTTGCCTCTTTCACAGCGACAATGTAAGATTTTTTTTTAAAAAAAGTCTTTGTATCTCATTTGGTCAGATTCAGGATAAGATTTCTGGCACTGGCATGCCAGCATTTCCCTTCTGCTGCATTTGCCACAGGTCACCTGTAAGCCAAGGTGACCTATTAGACCAAAGTCCAAGAAGAGAATGCCTAGGGGCAACCTTATCAATGGCTGAGGAAAATTAGCCTTATGATTCGTCGATTTTAGTCCTGATTCAGGATGGGTTGTGTGTGTGGACTAGATGACCTCTCAAGGCCCCTTACAGGCCTATACTTCTATGATGAGCTCATCTAGTCTCACCCTCTATAGAACACAGGCAAAAGAACTTCAAAGAAAGCATTTATGTCCCGAGGCGTAGCAAACTGGAGAACACGGGCAATGATCCCACAACCTCTCATGTGACATTCCACTAGGTAGCACAGTCTGTCAGGGGAACGGCATTCTCCCTCAGCTTTCCACTCAGGTATAATCAGTTTCTGAGGGTGAACCATCCAAATAGGCCCTCTTGCGAGGGAGAGGGAAACTGAGGGAAGCAATGGTCAATCAATGAGGTGGGTAGGGATTTCAGGATTACTCACCCCCATCCCAAAACACAAGGTCCAAACTGGAACCCACTGCGAGTTAAACCAACAGCCTCCTTGGTTAGCGTCACGGTAGCCATGAAATCCTGGACCCCATTCAGAGGATTTGTCATCCACATGGATGTTATAGTCACTGATCACTAACAGGATCACCAGCTCTGGCACCTAAATACTCTTCCTCCCTCTCTTCAGTTTGGGTTACAGTGAAACCTCTGTTTGTGTTTAAAGCTAAAAAGGCACATTAGGGCCCCAATCCTGAAGTTTCATTCATGTGGCTGGAACCTTGTATCTGGGTTGAGAGCCACTGGGTTGAGAGCCACTGGCTTTCACAGAGCTCCGTGTGGGCCCAAAGATCCCCCTGCACCCATCTAAGCACAGCTGGGCACTACGATGGCCAGGGGCTGCTCTGTAATAATTTAAGAATACTGTGTGTGAGCTGGTTATTGGGATGTTCCCTGTATGACTACACTGGGTTAAACAGAAAGGCTAAAGAATGATTTGAGATGATACCTCAGTAACCACGTGGGGGTTGTTACAAGGCAGGGGGGAGAGCCACTGGCCCTGTGGTGACTGGCCCAACCTCCCGTTGAGCCTACCAAACTGCGATTGGACAGCAGGGACCCAAAGCCCAGAAACTGAGAGGACAAGGAATGCTACAAACGATTTTCTCTCTCAAGATAGGGAGATGGTTGTTGCTGAGAAGCTGGTCAGACTCAGACACATACAGACACCTGCTGGGGAGGCATGAAGAAGTTAGACCATCCCCAGGAAGGCCTATATCCGTGTCAAAAACCTTTCCCCCCTTATGTTGTGCTTTATTATTGCTGTCGAAATCAAACAATGCTTTGGGTTAAAGCGGCCATCTGGACACTCTGTTCACAGACCCCCAAAGGGAAGTACCACAGATGCTGAACCCAGCTGGACCTGCTGGGAAAGCATGGTTGATGCAGCCCCCGGCCTGGTCTAAGAGTAGGAGAATCCCATGATTTCACCCTGGAGAGGCATGAAGCGGTGCACTCAGAGAAACCTGGAAGGGGAGAGAGGTGCAGCTAGCTCTGTAACTGTGACAGGTGCCTTATTTGATTTATTTCTCTAAAGTCTCTCTTCAATATTTCTCTTTCAAGCCAGAGGTTTTGTCTGTGATAATAAAAACAAACACGAATAGATAATCTAGCAGAGAAAGGCATAATGGGTACCAGTGGCTGGAAGTTAAAACCACACAAACTCAAATGAGAAATAAGGCATACATTTTTAACACAGAGGGTGATTAACCACTGGAGCAAGCTACCAATAGAAACGGTGGATTCCACATCTCTTGGCGTCTTCAAATCAAGACTAGATGCCTTTCTGGAAGATATAATTTAGTCACACACAAGTACTGGGCCCAATGCAGGCATAACTGGGTGAAATTTTACAGGAGGTCAGACTAGGTATAATGATGCCTTCTGGGCTGTTATGAATGTATTAAATCAATAGTTCTAAATAATGTCATAGCAACAACAGAATAGAAATCACTTAATTGCTGGGAAACACATTACAGTTACCTTCTTTAGAAAACACACAAGGGCACAGATAATAAATCTTAGCCCTTACTGCTCCAAACTTTACACACTTTAATTAATTTTAGAGTAAACAAACTGGCCTGAGGCCCAACCCTTCTTCAACTGAAGCCAATGGGAATTTTGCTTCTTTTCCTACTAGTTGAAAGTGTTTTTTTCCTTAGCTTAAATGATCACACCAGTGCAAAAAATAAAAATATTAACAACATCAACAAAAAGAACTCTGTTTACCGTAGGTATTTCTTAAGAACCTATGGCCTTGGCATTCAAGAATCGATACCAAAATTTATAGCACCTATTTAAAAACCATGCCATTTGGGTTAGGAAATCAAGACTCTCAAATGTAAGTTTTAAAACATCGTACAAAGCCCTTAGGACGCAGCTTGCTGAACCCACTACCAAAACTTCCACTGGCTTCCAGGACTGCAGGATCTAGCCCAAATTTCTTCAACAGCAAACACTTATGGGACACCCCAGAATGACACTGAAGAAGTGTAGGAGGCAGGACTATTTCTTGATTTAATGGCTACCAGCGGTTAAAGTCAGAAAATCTGGTTGCCCCACATTCCTCCTCCAACCCCTCCCTCCACCTCAGCATGAAGTTGGAACCGCTGTTTGTTCTGAAGCGGGTTTTTACACGCAGAAGTCTTTAGAAGCCCGGTGGAAATCAAGAACGCTCCCTGGGACTTCCACCAGGTATTTGTGCAAGCCGAGGATTTGGCCTTAGGTATCCAGATCTCCTTTTCCAAAGAACCTTTTGAGGCCATTAGCCTTTAAAAAACAAACCACCCTACAATTAATATGTCTCCCCACAACTAACTGCCTCTTGCCCCCAGGTTACAGATATCACACAAAGCAACCTCTTCTCTCCCACCAACATAGCAGGAGCTGCCCAGAGACCTGCAACCAGTCGGACTTTAAGGAAGAATCACCCCCTCCTTCAATCACTCCTGCCAGAGGAAGCAGAGCAGAGGCTGGAGAGCCTGGGGGGAAGCTGCCCACTGGGGAAAGGGTCTAGCTGCCCCTGCTCAGGGTCGTTCCCCACCCACCAGCGCTCACACTCACGTGCCTTGTCCAAGGGCAGCTCCCCGACCCGCCGCTGCTCCCTCCGCCAGCACCTGGTGCCTAAGAACGGCGCGGGGGAGGCGCCCTCCTCCCAGCCCGGCCCTGCCCTGCCCTGCGCAGCGCCGCGGCGGGGCCCCGGGGGACCAGGGCGCGGCGTTAGCTCTGCCCGCGGCTCCCGCAGCCGGCCCGGCCCCGCGCCCGCAGGGCCCCCGCCCCTTCTGGCAGCGGGGCGCGGGCGGGTCGGGGCAAGCCCGCCGGCGCCTGCAAACAACCCATTGCCCTCGGCCTCTCCCCAGCTTAATACAACACAAGCTTGTGGCCCCGTACAAATTATCCGTCCATGGTGCTTCTGTGACTCCCTCCGCCATCGTAACTGA